TGGAAGCTGGTGTTTAGTCTTGAGTTTCTTGTTGTGGGAAGGACATGAGCTGGAGGAGGTTTCTGGATTCTGTTGGACCCTGGCTGTAAATAACTCATTGCTAAACTGAGTGGTGAAGCCCTAGGAAGATTCTGTAATCTGGGGGAAAGGGAACTTTTGAGGTTCTTGCTGTAAGGGACATAATGGGAGATTTGTGCATGATTTGTATGAGGCTTTCATGGAAGTTTAAAGAATATTCCTCCAAGGCATGCTCTTGTATTCTTAGTTTCTGTGGGTTTGGTGGGAGGGAGGGGTGTTCTTGATTTTTATTGGGGGGTTCTAGTTTTGCTTTTAATAGAGTGCATGCATTTCTTAATGTAAATAAAAATGAGGACTGATTAAAACAAAAGAGAAAAGCAGGATTTAAAAACTGATGTTAATCTTGCCTTGTACTTGCAGTTTAGTTATTTGTAAAGAAGGGTTGCTTTTGATGGGAAAGTGTAATTTGGTTGGTTGGTTTGATTTTTTACAAAGTAGTATTTTATCTGCACTTACGAAAATGATGGAACCTGACATGCATTCATTCAGACTGGATATTTTTTAATTTGTGCTACAAAATCATGATTTCTAATTACTAATTTCTACTCATACTTCTAATTTACTCATTTTTAATTAGGGTTGACAGTCTAAAATGTTCTATTACATTTCTGTTATCTCCAATATACTGGATATGTAACAAAGTACCTGAAGTGTTTTCCATTTAAATGGTTTATCAACCAAAAAATATTTTCGTTGTTTATTATGCTGAATTTTTTTTTCTTGTCACCTCATCGTTGTCATCAAGATTTCTAGAACCAGTATTATTAGCTTCTTTTACATAGTTCCTATATATGTGGAAAATGGGCTTTACTGATCCTCCAGCTCCTAATCACTTTCCCATCAATAAACAAATTGATTATAACCTGAAATGAAGGAAATAAATTTTGTATATGTAGATTTTTAAATCTCTCCGAAGTCCTAATGGTCAGTGTTTCTTTAACAACATGTGGAGAGCAGGTTGCCAATAGCCACACCTGTCAGGGAGGAAAAATTAAAAAAGAACAAGAGCATCTGTTGCAGAAAACATTTGTTACTGGGAAGTAGAGATCTAAACAGTTTCATTTTCATGTGGTGGTGATTTGGAAGAGGACAGAATCCATTGTCCTGATGGTTGCAGAGTCCATGTGTATTTTGGTCAGACCCTTGGTAATTTTTACAATGTTTTCTAAAATAACATTTTTACATGACATTTATTTCCTTTGAGGAAATGAGGTAGTATGCATGTTGGGTGTTTTCCCATCAATTTGATGGCAGAGTTGTATTCTATAGCTTGCAGCGTAATACATACAAAGAATCTATGGCATTCTGGGTGAGTGGGGAGGGCAGGAAGTTTATCAGAATGAAATGGTTGAGTAATTTTACACAGTAAAATATTAACATGTTTTTGTTGTCTTTGGTATTTTTTTCTCTTCCGTTCTTAGCAAGAAGGCTCATTGTGTGCTCAGCACTGTCTGAATAATTTGCTACAAGGGGAATATTTTAGTCCTGTTGAGTTATCCTCTATTGCACAGCAGTTGGATGAGGAAGAAAGAATGAGAATGGCAGAGGGAGGAGTGTCTAGTGAAGAATATAGGACATTCTTACAGGTAAAATCTTATTTGAGGGTGCTTCATGTTTGCCTGACATCTAACATATTGTAGCACAGACCTGCTATCCTTGCATAGCCAGAGAAGGTTAATTCCTTAGTGCTGAAACTTCTTAAATTTGTAGGCTGCTCATTCATGAGTCTTAATTTTTGGCATTTTCAAATGTTACTAGTACTGCGTTACAGTAATTCTACAAAAAGATAAATTATCTTTATCTTACAGACAGGAAGGTCAGGCATGGTGAGGAGGAGGATCAGCAGTTTGCTTTTTCTTCTTGTAAGCCAGTGGCAGAGATAGGAACAGAAGTTCCCATGCCTGTCTGTCCTTTAAGCAGTGAACATTTCTAATTTAAAGGTTTCAGGTTTTCATTATTAAGCTTATTTGGGCATTGTAATCAGCCTTGCAGACTAGGACATATTTAGTGTTGTTGTTTTTCAGTATGTGCGCTTATTTTTTTTCAAAACTGAATTATTTCTGACCTTTTATGCTTACACTATTTTTCCCTTTTCTCCTTCCCAACCTTGCACTGAGCAGCAGCCTTCTGTAAATATGGATGATAGCGGATTCTTCTCAATTCAAGTAAGCATGGCTCTATACTGACAGGTTTTTTTTATTTATTTATGCAATATATGTTCTCTCGTAATTTAAATGTCATTGAGGTTTTTCATCTAGTTTCCGGTTTATAGGCTTAAGGTTATTAAGTGCTGGACTTACAGATCTTCAGAGAGTTTTCCATTAAGAGCAGTGACCTGCAGTTCCTCAGTTCATGGGCCTTTAAACATGGAGTAGTAGTCTCCTGAACTGTGAAATGACACCTGCTAGCAATAAGCTTGATTTCAAAGTTGCTTCTTATGGGCACTTCAGGTGTAGACCTTGGCTCCCATAGACTACAGGTGAAAAAGCAGACTTGAGATTGTTTTCTCAGATTGTAAACTGTAGAGCCCTTGGGAGTGGTTACAGGGTTATCACAGTGATCTGCAGAATGGAAAAAGCTGCAATATCTGCATTCCAGTTTTTATAACACAATCCAGACACATTAGAGCTGGGGTTTTTTTAAGGACTATAATGTAAAAGTAATTAATAAGAAATACTTAGACCAGAACAACAACAAAAAAAAAGGTATTGAACACTGAACTGGGGCTTGTGGCTAGACTAGAGCTGTAGGCAATGCTTTGCACCTTTGGGTGTCTCCTGAGCTTTCAGAGGTGCTTGTCAATGTTCCAGAATCCCTCAAGAGCCTCTCTTCCTTATGGCAGGACAGGGCTGTTTTTCTGTTCAGTGAAAAACTATTAATAGTTTGTCATTTCTTGTATTCTTGATTGTGCTGCTTCAATACTGAAGCTGGAAAAAGAAGCTTCCTCATATTCTGCTTTTTTTTGTCCTGTCATTGCTTTGCTCACTTGCTCCGTAGTTGGCTTGCTGAAAGGAAGATGACTTGTTAATTTAAAATTTCTTACAGTATTATTTCAGATAGCTCTAAAAAGTCATTGTAAAAGAGTTTGTGCTAATGTACCTGACAGATCCTGTGACCATCCAGTGATGCAAAATTTCTAGTAGTTCCAATTCCCCCAATCCATGTGGGGAAGGATGACATTGTACTGGGTAGGGGGAGGGAGGGCAGAGCAGTACATTGAGAGCCTTTGATGACAATTTATGAAGTATCTGTGGGAGGTGAAGTTACAGCTTTGTCTGGGGGAGTAAGCTTATTAATGCATCTCAGTTAAATCCTAGTTTTGTTACTTCCCCTTAGATGTAGTATGCATGTTATGTTTGCATGTAGATTCATGACAGTTGTGTTTTGAGTTATGTGATTCCTAGGTTTCCTGGCAATGTTTTAATATCGAAGTTTTGTGAAAACAGTATAATTGTTTATAGCAGCTAAGATGATTGCATTGCTTAAAAGTAGATTTGACTGATTTGACTCATGGAAAGTGCTTTTCTTTGACAGGTTATAAGCAATGCCTTGAAAGTTTGGGGTTTAGAACTAATCCTCTTCAACAGCCCAGAGTATCAGAGGCTTGGGATCGACCCTATGTAAGACCTTTTTTTCTTAGCACCCTGCTTTCATTTTACAGAAAAATAACACTCAATCTATGATTTAAATCTTTCATTAAAATTACTGTTTCCAGGTCTGTTGCATTCTGATGATTTTATTGTCCCCTCTGTCTTTTTTTTTTTTTTCTATGAACATCTGTCCTCTGTGCCTTCATGATATCTTGGTATCTGTGGCATCACAGGTATATGGTGATTTCAGTAATGTTGACAACTTCCTAAATGTTATGAAAGCAGTATGAGTACTGTGTAATATCAACAGTTTTATTACTGAAATTATGTTATACAAGTTTAAATTAGTGGTAGCAAAGAACTTAAACATTAATATGCACTCAATATTATTTAATTTTATCTATACCTTTTTTCTTTTTACAGAAATGAAAAATCATTTATTTGTAATTATAAGGAACACTGGTTTACAGTTCGAAAGTTAGGAAAACAGGTGACATTGTCTTTTTTTTATTTAAAAATTGACTTCAGAATGGGGGTGGAAATGTGGTTGCGAGTAGACCATGTGTTGGCCTTTTGCAAGCTTTTGCTGCAATTTCCTTTATTTAAAAAAAAAAAAAAAACAAACCCAAAACAAAAAAAACTAACCCAAACAAACCAGTAAATCCTTGTTATATCACAAAAATGCCAGGCAGCTTTTTATGAATCTTAGCCTGGGGAAAGACCCTAGGATCAATTTCCCAGTGACCTGTCCTCTGGGGAGCTGCAGCTCTGGTAGAGTCTGTGTGACAACTTAAGTTCTTTTCTTTCTTTACTGCATGAAAAATATCAGAAAAATTGTAGAGAGGGAGTGGGGGAGGCCTAGACAAGGATTTGGATCCCTATAGAATCCACACTTATTTTAAGGCACTGGATTATTGACATTGTAAAAATAATTTTGTTAATTTAAATGGACAGTAGGTATAAGAAAAAGTTCCAATTTCAAATGTATTAATATTTATGATTACTAGTATTTGAGAGTATCCATCAGGACAAGGTTGGGGAAAGTAGAGTGATAACTTTGCACTATTTTAGAAAACTTTCTGAAGCAGTTGTATTATAAGCAGGAAATAGTTATTAAAGGTAAGGGATGGCCATACAAATGCATGGTATGTATATAATAAGTCACCTCCCTGTCCTTTGCAACACCAATGCAGTGTTTTATTTCAGTAGCCAGTCATTGCTCTGGATCATACTGCATAAGCTTTTGTACAACATAGGCTGGTTTGGTGGGGTTTTTTTGTCACAGAAAAAGTTTGTGAAATAAGCTTGTAGATTCTACAGTTGTGGACAGGAGTCTCTTTACCCATATGGTTCATTTTGCAAGTGGTATCTACCTAGGTTGTCATCCAGATCAAAAAAAAACAAATAAAAAAATCACTTGTGAGCAAACAAACTGAACTGCTGTTCTGTTTTAGTGTAAAAGTATGGCTAATGTTTACAGACAATTTTTGTGTATTTGATATCAAAAAGGCTGAATGGTCTCTAAAAGTTATTATATCTACAATCATTTTGGGTAGAATTTTTTGAGACAGCATTCTAGCACAAAATGTTTGAAGTTGGAGGGAGGATGTCTTTTGCTCGTACATGTGGCTACAAGCCACATGAAGACAATAGTACGTGTCCGTTATCTGGAGAGTAATGAGAAAAGATAGATAACATAGGTTAACTTAGCTTTGACCTGCTTCTCTTCTGTTACAGTTAAAGCAAAACTAGTTTAGCAAATCTTCTTCCTTCGTATTCCCTTTTAAGAGTCTGTCTGTAATCTGTCCATCAGATTTGTTTACATAACTTTTCATTCCCCACTCCTACGCTGTTGGTCTTTTACCCTTTCCTAGTGGCAAAGGGTGTTTTTGACAAATTGAATGACAGAATGGAGTCACCTATATTCCAGGTGAATATTAGTATGGGCCTGACTGCAAATGTATTACTGCATGTATGGAAGTTTGGGTAGATAAACGCATTTTTGTGAGAATGGAAACAGAATTTTCCTTTTACTCTCTGATATAGTGCTTCCTGGTTAAAATTGGATAATAATGAACAAGTATAGTATAAAAAAGGTTGTTCAGATTAATTGCAATATATATGGGGTTTTAAAGGTAGGATATTTTGTTGTCCATGTTGAATATATTTTCTCTTTAGAAGAAGTATTAATGAACGACTCATTGTCATCTTCAGGGAACTAGAAATCATCTGTGTGTATTTCTCAAGTGTCCCCTATTGTAATATTATGCTGTACTATCAGCATATTAAATTTGAGTTCATCTTTCTTAATTTTTAAATTTAAAAATTATCTCAAAGTAGTAAACAACAGTTTTCAGCATCACCTGCTATAAAGGCAGCCTGTTTAATTAAAGTATTTCATGGAGAGAATGCCAACTTTTGATTCCTGTATCTACTAATTTTTTAAGATACAGCATTAACTTATGAAGGGTTTCTTCCTTCATTAGTCTCTGAAAAGACTGAAAACTAGGATAAAGCAAAATTTCAGAATGATGTCTGAAATAATTATTCTGCCATTATATTTTGATTTATCTGTTTGCCTGGTACCAGCGTTCAGTAATGGGAGAGAGCATGCAGTAATATCCCCGCTTCAGATCTGTTAGCTGAAGAGTATTTGAAGGGTAACTTTTAGCAGTATAGGTTTTCTGCTTCAAAAGATTTTAATTTGATAATTTATTTTACTAGATTTATTTGGATATTCCATTATAGAAAATGACCACAATGTACAGAAATGGATTACCGAGTAATCTTTATGCTAATTTGTTCTCTCAAACCTTTTTTTTCTTAATTACAGTGGTTTAACTTGAACTCTCTCTTGATGGGTCCAGAACTAATATCAGATACATATCTTGCACTTTTCTTGGCTCAATTACAACAGGAAGGTAATAGTAACTTGCAGATGTTAAATCCTATTAATTAAACATAGGTAATAATAATTATTTATTAGAACTTATATATTCAGTTAACTACCCTTAGTTTTATGATTGAAATAGTGAAATCATCCAAGTCCTTATAATGAAAGGTAGAGCCTTGCATTGTAATAAATTGCACATCATTGTGTTCCACGTAGTGTGCATTTTAGAGTGTTTATGCATGCACCTTAATGCTGTAGACTTACGATTTATTTTTCTCAGGTTATTCCATATTTGTAGTAAAAGGTGACTTGCCAGACTGTGAGGCTGATCAGCTATTGCAGATGATTCGGGTACAGCAGATGCAGCGACCAAAACTGATTGGAGAAGAGACAGCACAGTCAAGAGACCAGAGGTAAGGTAAATAGAGATTTCATGTTAATAAAGTTCAGTATGATTGGTTTCCATGATTAATGCCTACATGGAGACAACCCCCTTAAGACGTAATTAGAAGTACTTCTGGTGCAATATGCTTATTACTGTTGCACACAGTAAAAGCAAGTTGGTAGAATACAAATGGTGTATTTTTAAATGGGCAAAAACTACCTTAAGAATTTAATCTTTCCATGTGCATAAGTGTTGTATAGTGCAGATTTTTAACTTCATGATTATGACATTTTTCCATTTATAGTAAAATGAGATAGCAAATCTTGTCAAACCATGGTTAATAGCAATCTATAATTAAGACTGGTTTGTGCATTCTGTCATAAGTAGAAAAGAATGAGACACCCATATCTGAATTCCACATCATATAAATCATACAGCATTCCCTTTTGGACTAATTTCACTGTAATTTCACTGCTGCTCTGTTGTTATGCCTAACTCTAATATAAAACATCCTTGAAAGCATTTAAAGTACTACTTCTGCAATAATTTTATCACATTCTCATTGTGAATAAATTGCATACTGATAAAAAGGCTTAAGGCTTTTCAGATAAATTAATTCATTATTATTTCTTCCACTTTGCTAAGGTAAATTGGTGTAAATTGATGGAGTAAAAACAAACAACTTGGCAGTAATGTGGAAAGTGTATATAATTTACAGGGGATCTGTTACTCTAGTGTGGTCATCAAAGCTTCCTACAGAGGAGACCACGTGCACTCTTCTCTGAGGGTGTAACTGATTAAATAGCTATAGATTTGAGTAACATGTGGTGTTGCTTTTTGTAGCCTTACTGGTTTTGAGGTTTTTCCTATTGAAGAGATTCTTGTCAACACGTGCATGGGTTTAGAGTTGCAGTATTTTCATTTTTACAGCTGCAAGCAGCTCTTTTTTGCTTTTTCATGTAGAAATGAAAAATTTGTTTATATAACAGATTTTCACAATAAAAATGTTTTTCTCCAAATTTAAGAGTTAAATCAGCAGAAAATATTTACTTTAAATCTCACAGTAAAAGTTAATATGATTTCTGTCTGAATTCTGCCGTAAATGTATCAATTTCACAGGCTACCCAGGAGTGATGCGGACCAAGCAATAGAAGTTAACCATCCTTTTGACGGAACAGGCATGTTAGATGAAGATGAAGAGAATTTTCAGAGAGCCCTGGCTCTAAGTAGGCAGGAAATTGATATGGAAGATGAAGAAGCTGATCTTCGCAGAGCCATTCAACTCAGCATGCAAGGTGCAATGCTTATCTGAATTTCTCTTACAGCACTCATGTTGCTTATGCTTTAGACAGCTACTGAAATTGGTTTCAGTCAGCCACTTTTTCCAGCATGCGTCAAGTGCTCTGAAAAGACTGGCTTTGAGGCATGGAAGGACAATGCAGGATTTTCCTGTAGCTATCTCCTTTCTGCTTTTCCAAAAGTTGCAACTTTCATGTTAGTATTGATTGTTAGGAAGCAAGAACAGATTGGCAAGGGTTGGCAGGATGGAAGGGAAACAGTCCTCAGGTGAGGAGAAGAGGCAGTATCAAGTGAAGTTAGACTAGGTGCTTATTTTTACGAGTCTTTCTTCCTCTCAAGTTTGAAGACATTTTCTTAAGCTATATTTCATTTACTAATTTCATTTTACTATAATTAGTAGGACATGGCATATTCTGGTTTTAGGTAGTCGTCGAAGTGAGCTCTCTGACTCATTACCACAGAATGCTCCTCCGTCGCCTCACACCAGTCAGACAGACTCCCTTTCTTCAGAAGAACTGCGAAGGAGAAGACAAGCATATTTTGAAAAGTAAAGTAGTTGCTAGAAAACTGCATGTGGAAGTACATGTCATATTTTTCAGTGTTTTTGGGGCGTGGATGGGTTTCTGACTGAGGTCTAGCTTTATTTTGATCTCTTAACGTATTTTCCTAACAGTACTTGAACTTTGCTATTCCCAGCTGGTTCCTATGAAGAAAAGAAACATGTAAATAAGAGGGGATCTGTTAGTAAGGCAACATCAGTCTTGTGAAGAAAGAAAACACGTGTTATAAAAGTATTTTAAATGAAATCCTGTAGATTTCTGTAATTATTTTCCTGAAGAAAAGTATTCTTTTTGTAAGACTTTGCTTCTGGTAATGATGCCTCTAGTGTGCATCACATGAATGTGTTCTAGACAATATTTTATGTTGCTGTTCTGGAGCACCTTAACACACAGTTGGGGTATTGTTGTAGCTTTTCTTTGTCTTTCTTAGTGATGGAGGAAATAAAGACCAGGGAGAAATCCTATGGATTGGAGGAGTTAGACTTTGCATGAGAGGATGAGAATGCAGAACATTGAAATTCTGGGAAAACAGTAATGTAGCTTGGAATATAATGTTGGGAAGATAGGTGTCTGAAGGTTACCGGGGGAAATAACTGAAGAGTTTTTAGGTGCAGGGGGTTACTGTACCAGTCAGCTGCTTCTTGTTTTTGGCCTTCCTTACAATGGAATAGACTTCATGCAGGTCTCATGCTCTTATTCACTTATAAACTTATAACACTTTAAGGCAGCAACAACAGCTACAGCAGCAGGATCAGACCCCAAGCCTACATGATAAGCCAACTCTAAGCTCAAGCACTCCAGAAGCTGACCCAGGTATTGTTTTTAAATTTCCAGCACTGAAATATTTGTCTTTTTCACTTTTGTGTTGTGCTCTGTTTCCTAACTTTCCTTGTCTGCCTACTTCCTCACTCTGGCAGCCATTCTGACCATGTATCACAGCCATTACTCTTTTTGGCAATGAAACAAAGGATCACTTTCTTGAAAAGCCTGTTCTGCTTTGAATGTCAATATCCTGTTCCAAAGTGAAGAGCATTACTATTAGACCATTTAAATTCTGGCTTTGTTTTTTTGATGTTTTGTTTGGCTTGAGCATTACAAATTGTAATCTTTGATGGGATTTGTGCCAACAATTTGTTTTCTAAATTACTATTAAAGTTGTATGACAATGTAATAAACTTGGAGTAGTATCTGACAAAATGACTGGTACCAGTTTTCAGTAGAACATAAGTATGTAGGCCTTATCAGTATTAATTATTGGTGACCCAAAAGTAATGTGTATTACTTGTTACAAACTGACAGTTGTGGATGGAAAGCTAAATGCAAAATGTTCAATGATTTTAAAAAACAAACAAAACCAGTTTTGGGGGTGGGAAACAGGTGGGTGTGGACAAAAGGAACAAAGCATTTAACTACAGGTGAGAACTAACTCTGTATTTATTAGAGTTTATATGCATTTATTTTTTTTAGGTGGTGATATGAGTGAAGAAGACATGCTTCAGGCAGCCATGAATATGTCTCTGGAATCTGTTAGAAACCACCTGAATACAGAGGAGGAGAAATGACATAACTTTTTTTTCCCCTCTTACTGTCAAAACACTATGTCTCCATTATAATTTTACTGTGTGAATGTTGCACAAGCAGGGCTCATTTCAGAGTTTTGGAAGCAGGAATAAAAGGGGGGATGGAGGTCAGAGTTAGAGGGAATCTGCAAATACAAAAAAATATTGCACTAATTTAGAAAACTGTAGCACTCCTACTACAGAACATCTGTTCACAAGAGTATCTGTATTAAAACTATTCACATGAACAAAAACGTGTAGCAGCTGTAACTTGCATTTAAAAAGCAAATTTAAATTGTTTTGAAGAATTCTAAAGGTGACAAAAACCAGCATCAACTGATTTCCTTCAGTACTAATGGAAAAAGACACAAATAAAAAGTTGTCCTCATAAATGACTAAGTTCTTTAAAAGAAATCACTTAAAATGGAAAAAAATAATTAAATTCTGTTTATCTTAATTTATTTTGTGATTGTTTATTCTGAATGACTTAATGTCAACTTTTTGATCCTGTTGTCCACTTTTGAAATGACCCATTTTGCAGGAGGAACATGAATCCATAAACTTCATACTTTGTAATTCAAGAGAAAATCATCAGTGTATTGTTGATTATGATGTTACTCCTGAATCATTCAGTGACTTCTGACCTTCTGACACTTTCTGGTTTTACTTTCAGTTCCAACTGTAGGTTTTACTTTTGGTTCCAACTGTAAAATTTTTAGATTCATGTTTAAAGTAGGATTTTTGCATTGCCCTGTTGTCTTTTGGCAGGTAACTTGCCTTCTTTGGTTTGGTTTTTCAATTTGTTTTTGTTTTCTTATGCTCTTTCTAGCTCTGCCACTGTCTTTACTATAAAAGCAGCATATAGTCAGTTGGGTTAAACAGGTTTTCTTTTCTACCTCTTCTGCAGTCTTCTTTTCCTTTTCAAGCTCAGCCCTTCATTCTGGACTTTTAGTATGAAAGAGCTGTAACTGAGTCTAGGAGAAAGGAGGAAGGGATTTAGGGTGCCATAAAGTCAGTGCCACACACTTTAGTCTGAAATGACCCCTGTGCAAGTAGCTCTTTTAAGAATAAATATTTGTCTGTGTGGATGTTCTTTCTGAAATGCTTTTTATGAGTGTCTGTCAGAATGTTGCAGCTTTTTCAGGAATGGCCTTTATTCATGCACCTTACAATTTTTTTTTATCATGCTGTTTCTGATGCTGAGAAAAATTGGGGAGCAAAGTGTGTGAGAGAGCTTATTCTACTGGTTGTAAAACATTTGCTTTGATATCCAGGATGAATGTATAACAGGGTGACCAAACCTGACTTTCAACTTCAGTGCAGCAGTTGAGATATGTTTCATTTTCCTAAATGGTGCTTGAATACAAATTCTGTTTACATATAAATTATATGGAAATATGTTGTAGATAGAATATGTAAGCTGTAGCTCACTTAATGCATTAACAGCACAGGCATTCTAAGAATCTTTTGACAATAAACCCAAATTTCTTTATCAAAATACTCTAAAGTTATACTATTGCACAATAGTAACATTTAATTAAAATCAGTATGAAATGAATGGTAGCTAGATGGAAATATACATTCACCATCAAGTAGTACTGTACATGAAAGGGCTCTTACCTCTCAGTAAAGATTTGTTTACAGCAATGGTTTCTTGGTAGCTTAGGGTATTATTATGTTACACATCACTGGGCTAAATTCTGTTTTCCTTACCTGTGTGTTGAATTTCCACCAATATCACCAGAACCACTAGTATGTGTAAGACAATATGGATTTTTGCATGAGACAGCACTACTCTTTAAAAAATTATTTTAAATTGTCTTTTTAAAATAATCCTGTTATGCACATTATAATTAATATCTGTAATGTCTCAAATGAATACAGCTAAACAATGGCCTTGAAAGTCCATGTGTGCATATGCCATTTTGAAATGCTGTATTTTTCAGGATGTAAATTTCTGCTTTCAGTTTAAAATTTATATGAAACTGAGAACAAGAAAGGAATCTGTAAAGCACTGAATTATTTCTTTCCTCGTCTGTAAATTATCCACAGCTTTAATTTCCCTTCTTTTGTTGTGCCATAAACTGATTCTGAAATAAGACTCTCGTTTTTATAAATAGGTACAGGCTGGCAATTTGATACCAGTATTTGGAACTTGGACCTTTTATTCTCTGGTAAAAGAATAGAATAAAAATGTATTATTTCTGTAGGTATATAGCATAGCAGCCCTCTATTAAAAAAGATAATTTAAGCCCCTTGAATTGCATTAACTGTAACCTGTGGCAATTACGTGTTTTTATAATCACTAAAGCATAGAGGTTTGCTTTTGAATGTTCATGTCACTTTGTAAGTTACTTTATCACCCATGTGTTTTCATATGTAAGGAATATAAAGTAACAATGCCTGAAAAGCAGAACTGCGTCAGTCATTACAGGCATAACCATATTCCTTTCTGTGTAGAAACAGTGTCACTCTACGAGTATCAGTTGGATTTCCAGAGGAATGTCAAGTTTAACATAGTAGGCATATCTGCCTAGTCAAGCAGTTGAGGTACCAATTTAAGCTACATATGTTAATTGCACCAAAGCAAAAGACTAATACTATTTGCTGACAGTACATATTTCATAACCCAGACCTAAAGTTCAAAATGTGTGGACCTGCCAAGAAGCTGTTAATAAAAAGCTTCTCTCATTTTTTGGTGTGCATTCTTTCAATGATAAACAGCTCTCAACGTGGCTGAACTATGCTCATAAGGCATTTACTAATTTGGAGACTATTGCTAGTGTTATCTATTCTGTCAAGCTGAAGGTTTGGTGGTTTGTTGTTTTGGTTTGTTTGTTTTTTTTTTTCTTTTCCTCCACATTGTAGCTTTAGGCCAAAGTCCATTGTAAAGGAGCAGAATTTTTTATTTTTTTTTTTACTTACAGGATGATATTTGAGGGAATTTCAGACTTCATTAACACATTTTTATAGTATCCTTCACAGTGAATGGTCCATGTGATGTAATTTGTGCTTTTCTGCCTATAGAAGTCAAAGGGATAGGGGGAATGAGCGTCACTTGCATTAAATATCTTCCAACATCAGTTCTGTAAGTATGATTCTGTGAACTGCTTTCATGATCTTGTGATGAGGGCAGGAGGAAAAAGTGTTGTAATGCTGTCATGCTTGAATGCAATTCTTGTTAGGCACAGCAGGTATAAATATGAGCAAATTAAATGCTCACATTTTTCTGGGCTTGAAACTAACCTGGTACAGTACTGGCTTATTCTCCAACATTTGGGCTCCTTGTTCCCTTTAAACAGCTTCAGCAAGTCTAAATGTAATTTTCAGCTAATGTACTCTTATACTTAATTTTAAGTAGCCTGCAAAGTAATTAACCAATGCCAAGTTATATTTCCAATGTGTTGTAATGTTGGACTATTGCTTCTATTACAAATCTATAAAATGGTGCGGAGTACAAAATGACTTCTGCACATGTCTAGTAAACAATTCTATTTCTGTATCAGAAAAACATTGCCATTTGCAAGCTGCTTTGTTTTTTTACTAAACTGACAGGTTTGTAATAGGCTTTTGAAAACTAACAAGAATATGTTACAGTTGTAAAGTGTCTGAGATTTTCTATAATTTAGTTATTGTTTCAAACATAACGACAAAAACGTACAAATGGTGTCCTTTTTACTGAGAAATATTATGGGGAATGGGATTGGAGAACTCTAGAACTCGGACTTGAAAGGAAGTATTACTGTACAATTTGTGTTACCAGCACATACTTTTAAAGGAATTGAAAAAAAGAGTCCAAGGAAGAGAACAATTGAAGTGGAAACTTTTCTTAAGGGCTTAGATGTAAAATTATGTCACTCACTTGGTAAGCCATTACTGTCTTGCATAAAACAAACTTAACTCATGTGAAATCTTCATAGTTACTCAAAAATAATTTAAAAAAAAGTCTAATAGGTAATACATATATAGCTATTCCCCACATAATCAGTTGTTCAAGAACGCTACTTCATACTAACACATTTGAACTGGCCAGATCCAAATATTTGATTCTTTAGTTTCAGATTAGTAGCTGGCTTCTGTTGTATCTGGGTTTGCATTTTAAAAGCAGGAGCTGTTTTGCAATAAACTTTTTTTAACCTGCATACCCACATTTTGCCTTACTTGCATTTCAGACATGGAGGGAATGCTTTATTATTTAACCTGCCATAGTCACCTCCTTCCCCAATTGCAGTTCTTCAGAATGTGAAAGTACGTGTGACTTTTCAACTGCTTTTACCAAATCAAAATGTGTTTACTTTTGCTTTTCTTAACAAGGAAAATAAATAATTGTTAGTACACTTAGTTGTTAGGTTGTGGGTTTTTTTAACACACTCCCCCCAGCCCAGTGTAGCCACTGTGTGAAGTCAGGAGGGGAAACTTAGACATGGGTTTGAACAGAAAGGGATGGAACATTTAAATGCCACTGCACATAAAAATAAGAAAAACCTTGATATTGTCTTTAAAGCATGCAAGCCTTGCCTAGTAGTTGTGTATTTTAGAAATAATTTTCAGTAATAGATTTTTCATCTTGAGACTGTGCTTTCAGTATCATGTCTTTGGCTCTGGATTCCTATACAATTTTTGTCTCTATTTTGTGTATATAAAGCATATAATACTGGAAAGATTAAAAAAGGGAAAGCTGAAATGCTTTGTCATTGTTTTGACTGGAAAATGGCAGTGCTGTTTGATATTTTGAAAAGGATCTCCAAATAGGCACGAATATATATGGCTGTATTTGATATCACTTTTTAAAATAAATATGATTATAGCTTCTGATGTTTCTCTCTTGACCTGAATGTTTGCATGTTTCCCCTTATAATGTGGATTGGACACAGATTCATTGTACATTAAAATCTCATCTTTGATATATATACATCTGTTGCAAATCCCATTGATATGTCAGCAGTGGCTAATTTTCTGTTGCTTGTAACTGACATTTCATCATCTCTGATGCCTTTTCCAGTATACTGGATGGTTTCTGTGTACCTTTATCAACAGCAGATGAAGCCAGATAGATGAAAAATGAGTTGCAATGCTAAACAGTCAGTTTCTAGTTTTTCAAGTGTAGTAATTAAAAAAGTGGGGGGGAAAAAAGCCCTCTGAGCTACTTTATTGGCTTCTTGCCTTACTTGGCATTATAAAATAAACAACAATTGGA